TTAAAATTTCAGAGGTGGAAAGAACCTTATCTGATACAAGTATATTCGAGGGCAATGAACAAACCTCAGTCACTTCATGAGTGCATTGAAACAAAATCTGACTCACCTGTGATTGTGGGGAGGGAGGTATAAATGAGTGTGCGTATGTGACTGTTACCAAAGGTAACCATAGCACTGCACTTGACTATTCTAACTGATCATATCTATCCCCTAGCTCTCTACCTGCCTCAAATAGCCTCACCTGCATCTTCCCCAGTTGTAAAAGACAACCTCAACTCCCACATTACTGAGATGATCAGACTGCTACAGAGTTCCTTCAACACCTGCCTACTTCCTTTATCTTAGTCCCTTTCTCCTTCCTTTGCTCAGGTCTCTCTCCAAGTTCTCCTGTTTCTCAGACTTACATTCTGAAAAGAATGTTCCAGACTCTTCAGAATGTGGCCTCAGCCCCAACCATGGAACCTCCTGAACAGCACATTCTAGTCACCTCCAGGCTTTTCGCTTTCCCATCCCTACACCTTTACAGAGCCCATGACACTGGACAATGAGTCCCTCCAACCTGCAGCTCCTCCAATCCCACCTATGTTTGAGGGCCTGGGTCAGATGCCACCTGCTTCAGAAGGCCTCCATCCACCCAGGTGGAACCTTGTCTCTCTCCCACAAACTCTTCAGATGGTCTGTCCTTGGCCACACAGTGTCTAGCACTGTGTCTTTTTCACCAAATCCTAGCTGCTTAAAGAAGCAAGAGAGAGAAGGAATGGAAGAATGAAGGAAAAGGTGCCAAGCTACAGAGTCTGTTGGGGGCCTCAGAGGATTCCTAGCCCAGATGAGGAAGGCAGAAGGATGGGTTCATGGTTGTTAGGAAGAACTGTGTCTGCCTGGTCCTCCGGCATGAGCCAAGGACTTAAACAGGGAGTGGGGGGATGAGCAGCGTGGTTATACAGTCACCCTCACATTACTATAAAAAAATAACTGAGATAATTTTTAAGAAAAAAGGTTTATTTAGCTCATGGGTTTGGAGATTCCAGTTCAAGATCAGGCAAGCCTCTTGCTTTGGGCCTCTGGTGGGATGCCAAATGGCAATGGAAGAAAGCACATGGCATCGCAAACTTCTGACCTCATGGCTAAGAAGCAAAAACCAAACAGGAATATCTCAGGATCTCTCACTATGGCCTCTGCTCCTAGAAGTTCTACTATCTTTCAATAGCCAAGGGACCAAGCCATTAACACATGGACCTTTGGAGGACACTTTCCCAAACTATAACAGTAGTCAACAACCTCATGGCTTAGGCCTGTGCCTGGACTCCACAGACATGCCCAAGAGCAGAAAGAACCAGAGTCTCATGCACCTGGTCAGCACTCCCTTCTTCAGGGAAGGGCCAGGTCTCCAACACCCCTCCCTGACTCGCAAGCTCAGGCGCCATCTGCTGACCAACATAAGCATTGTACTTGAACCCACGGCCCTAAGGAGTCAGGAAACAGAGCTAAAACCATATTCAACTCAATTCAGATCCAGGTCCTTTATGACATAGCAGAAAGGACCATACCTCCTGAGAAATCATAAGATTTTAGGTTCTGTTACTGTTGTTTCCCCATACTTAACCAAGTAGTCCTCAGCACTCTGTTAAGTCAATTCCTTCATTGACAAGTGCCCTTCATTGTCCTCATACTAAGGACACGCCTCTAGGCCAGCCTTGACTACCTGGGACCAAACTGGTATGAGGAAACAAGTGACTCTCCAAGGCCTCTGTGGATGGCCCATGAGGCACCCAGACTTCCCAGTGAGGCCAGAAGCACCAGTCCTGAGCTGCTGCCCAGCCACCCGCCACTGTCTTCAGTCTGAGATTCAAAAGCACTCATGCAGTCCTTGAACTTAGAGTGACCTCAGAGCCTAGCCAAGGACTGGGACCAAGAAAGATGGCAATGCAGGACTCAGTCCTTTCAATCATGCACCTACAACCAGAGAAGAAACCAAACAGCATGGAAGGGCCTCGGCCTGGTGAAGCACTCAAGATGAGTGGGGCCCACCCCAGCATCATCCTAGGGGTGACACTGCCCCCCACGCCATGGCATGGGAGGGGCTGGAGAAGGTGGAAGTGCACAGTGAGTGATTTTCCTCCACCCTCACACCCCCACACTCACCTACCCTGCTTCCCACACAGTCCCTTTCCCCTCCCTCCACCCACAGCCTAAAAAGTATGTCACCAGGGAACAAATGCCATCTTCCCAGGAGAAAGGAGAAGGAGGAAGGGGGAGGGACGACTTTGACTCTGTGCCTGTGGGGACTGTGGTGAGAAACCAAGGTTTTTGAGCTTCCTATAGTGAGGGACATCCCCTGGGAACCGTGATTTCACATTAGCCTCTCTTTCTCAGGGGACTCCAGACAAACTGGAGCAGGAACCACACAGCCACCTCACTCAGGGCTACTTAACTAGAGGCTGAAAAAGAGGCTCTGAAGATGCAGGAGACATCTTCCAACCCCATTCTCCAGCCTGCTGCTCCTTGACTGCTTATACCCCAAACTCCCATCTCACCCTACCCTGGCTTGGAGAGGGCTGTTGACCTGTACTTGCCTCACCCTCTCCCCAGAGGCTTCCAAGGGTTAATCTCCTGCTGCCTCCCCCTCCTCACATCCACCCTCACTGAGCTGCCACATGCCAGCAATGAAGCACTTCACAGTGTTATTACAGTGATTTCTTTAGTTTTAATTTGGGGGTAAATCTCATGCTTTTGGAAGCCGGAGGCCAACAGTGTTGGCAAGAAGCAAACGTATTCTCAGGCCTGTACTGTGCCAATCCTGCTCCTCTGCCTAGTCTTTCTATACTAACCCTGTTCTTCCTAGCCTGCTTCCTGACACCAGCCCTAAGTCAATCTTGCCTTTCATTCCCTCTCTCCCTTTGAAGAAAATGTTTCTTAGTACAAGGGAGTTGCAGCAGTTTCTATGCTCATTTCTGGCGTGATCTGGGCTCCACAGAGTCAGATAATGAGGCCTTCGTCCAGGCCGGGCCATCACCGAGGAGTGAGGCATCTTTGGCTGGATGCTGGGCACCTGGTACCAGCTCTACATTAAGGGATCTATAATGAGGGCCAGCTCCATGCAGATCAATAAAAATGGAATCGGTCTTTATCAAATCACTGTGCCTATTCTCAGCCATGCCCTGTGTTGCCTAAAGAAGCCCATTCATCCATTAAACAAACACTGACACCTACTATGTATCTCATTGTTCTAGCACTACAGATACAGGGTAAAAAAACTATCATAGTCTTCATTCCCAAAGAGTTTCTGACTTGCAGCAGAACTACCTAGTTTGGATTACGCCAAGCCGCAATAGCACAAGTGAGGGTATAAAAGTGCTGTAGAGCCTAATACGATGGGTCTAGGGAGGGCCAGAAGACTGCACAGAAGAGTTTAAATTTGACCGGGAAACCCTGCCTGGCATTTGCCAAATGGATGGACAGATGGACAAATGGCCTGGAATCACTTGGCAGATAAGAGGATGGAGTAAAGATATTCCAGGTAGGTAGGGGAGCATGGGCACAGGCACTGAGGGCTAAGGGTACACAGTGAGTGAAACACAAGCAGTGCTGGGTGGACAGAGTGCTGGAAAATAGCCACAATAGTCACAGTGCCAGTAAACTGCTCTACAGAGAGGACTACACTAAGCATTTTATATCCATTATCCCTTCCAATCCTCACAGCAATCCTATGAGGCAGGCACTACAGTTACCCTCATTTTACAGAAGGAGGGTGAGGTACCAAGAGTATACATTTTATGCTAGGTCCAAGGCCCTGGCTTCAGAGGCCAAAGTCTAGCCCCCACATCCCTCTGTCCTGCTAAGTGAGTTCTGAAATGGGTAGAAGATACAGCCTGGACAGGGCACCTTAATCCTGCAAAGGGTTTTGTTTTAAGGGTAACTGGGAGGCATCAAAGGTTACAAACTGATCTTAGGAAAGGCATCAGCCTGCTGAAACCTTGGCTCTTAAAATTGTTTGCTTTTTGTCTAGAAGACCCAGAGGATTCTCTAAGGGGAGGATTCCAGATATGGTAATAGGTAAGGGGAACCAAAGAAGGGTTTTAGTAGAGCTCTCTGAGGGACCCTCAAATTATGGCACATAATTTTTAAGGCTGGGCCTGACCAGCTGCTCAGCCATCTGAAGACGGCTGCTTAAATCCCTCCCTGACCCCAGAAGCACAGTGACCAGAAACAGGCCAGTGAGAGGGGTCCATGAAGTCATGCCCAATTTGGCACAAAATGACAACCTGAAGGTCACTGACTTGAGTGTGAAGGAATGTGACCAGGGCTCTTGTACACAAGGACCCTTAGCTCCTTTCTCTGTCACTCCAAGGTACAGAATGAAGAAGAAAAATTAAGATTTGAGGAGGCAGATTTTAGCACTTACAAGGAAACCTTCTTATAGTTAGAGCCAACTGACAACAGAATGGGCCACCTTGGGTGGCAGATAAGAGAATAAGCTTCCCATCACTGGAGGTAATCAAGCAGAGGCTGGAAGGGTGCCTACCACGGATGCTCCAGAAAATGCTTGAAGAGTTTACTGATGGCTCATAGAGCAGTGTGCTAGAATCACTTACTAACAGTATCCTTGGGCACCTGGCCTTACCACCCTAGCCCTCCATCCTCCACTTGCAAAATGGGGTAAGAGTACCTCCCATGTTTACCATGGGGATTAGGTGAGATAATATGTGCAACACAGCACAACTGTCAGTATGCAGCAAACCCTCAATAACTGACAGACACCAGCTTGAATTCTATGAATCATAGTGGGTTGCCAACCAATGTAGTCAAATATGGGTATTTCATATTTCAACTAATATTTTTTACTGACGGTCACTGAGTTTATTCTAGCCTGTCTCTTAGGACTGAAATCTGCTGTGACATTTGGCTTTGCATCAGTGATGGACCCCCAGCATCCTGGGCCCAGGCTGCAAGAACTCTGCCAAAGCATATGCTGCCCCAGCCCATCCCGGGAGAGGTCATACCTCCTTGCCCAGATCCTCGCGGATGACCTGGCGGACCTCTTCCATGCTGCTCTGTGGGGCCTGGCTATGCAGCACTTTCAGTGTGCTTGTGTACTCCACTGGCAGCACATGGTCCAGAGCCCCCAGGTGCTGGCCCACCTTGATGAAGGTGCCCCGGTTGGCACAGCAGAGCTCACAAAGACGCCTGGCAGAGCGGAGGTGCACCTGCAGGGAGACAAGTCAAGGCCAGAGACATGTGAGTGCAGCCTGCTCCACAGAAAGCATTCCCTTCCCTGCCCCTCTGCTCCAATATCCTCAGTACCAGTGCAGGCAAGGGTGCACACGCATACACACACACATCCCTTCCTTTATCCTCTCCGTCAATGCCCTCCTTCAGTCTCCTGGCAGCCAGAGCAGTTAATCCCAGTCTCATACTGAGGCCAACCTTTACTTATTACCTGATGCTTCAGTCTGCTTCCCTTCAACAAAACTTACCTGGTCCAGGTCCAACTCCCTAGAAATGAATATTCGTGGCTTTTGACTGAGTCTAATCAACTAGTGACTCATTCATTCAAGGGTATGTTGAGCTAATGTACTTGCCACCAATCCCTTGGACATAATAGGATTTCATGGAGTCTTTACTCCCATTTCCTACATGGGGAGCAGGAAATGTTTCTTCCTTTTTTTTTTTTCCCATTTCTCCTCACTTTTATCCTGATACACTAGACTCCTTTCCTAATAAACTTTACTATTACTTTTACTACATTTTCATGCCTTGCCTGAATTCTTCTCTTGCTGGACACAAAAACCAAGCTATATACCAGTGCTAAACTTTCCAGTAATATTTGTATTAGGTTTGGGATCTGAACCATGGCATCAAAAATGTTACATCTTGACTCAGATCTCAGATCTAATACATCTGTTTCTGCAAGAGGCTATAAAACTACAAATAATACAACTCCACAAAACTCTGAGCATGCCTCCTCCTCCTTAAACACAACTACCATGGGCTATGGTCTCCAAAGGACATGCCTCCTTCTACAGAGGCCCCTTGGATCATCCATGACCTGTGATTCCAGCTAGCTCCATTCACAGAGAGCAAAGACAAGAGACTACTGGCCTAGGCCAATGCCTCATAACAGCAAAAATTAGCCGAAGACTGACTACGACCTTCCATTTACTGAAAGATTATAGGGTCTCTAGTCCTAGAGTAGGGAAGTTAGCCATGAGTAATGTGTGAAGCCAGACAGATAGATGAGGAGACAGGGAAATTACATTATTTTTAATAAATATTAAAAGGGTCAGACTCAGACACTGAAATAAGAAAGTAAAAACTAAAAAGCCAGAGCAGCTAGCCCCCTCCCACCTCCTTTTAGATGTTAAGTTAGAAAAACAGGGAGACTTAAAGGGATTGTCTGCATCCTTCCTCTTTGAAATGTTAACAAGCTACAAGGCTCCTGGAATGGGCAGACGGAAAGACTGCCAAAGGGAAGTTCTAAAGCACACCTATTGTCCCTGCATTTTGGGTAGGCCTGGATGACATCTCCCTTTCCTAAAAACCCAACTTAGCCACCCAGATCCATTATCTTAATGATTTAGAGGTTGCCAGACATGACCACGTGTATTCCAACTGGGAAAATATAAGACTAAGAGATGAGGACCACTATTTTGAGTCTTTACTCCTATTTCATGCATGGGGAGCAAAAAATGTTTCTTCCTTTTTTTCCATTTCTTCTCACTTTTATCCTGTTATACTAGATTCTTTTCCTAATAAACTTTACTATTACTTTTACTACATTTTCATGTCTTGCCTAAATTCTTCTCTTACCAGACACAAGAACCAACTTACACGTTAGCACTAAACTTTCCAGTAACACTTCCACCAACAAAGTCAACAGAGTGAACATGGAGGATGGACTCTATTCTCAAGTGCTAAGAAGGATGCTGAGGTACTTAACATTTATGGGGCAATAAAACTAGAAGAAGAGTTAAGTAACAACTATAAAAAGATGGAAGAAATGTTCAAACGTTCTACATAGTTGCCAAACACCCACCACACACACACACACACACACACACACACACACACACACACACACACACACACACACACACACACACACCTGACTCCAGACACCAGCAGGCTGACCTTAGGCCCTCAGGGACCTGTACACACACACACACACACACACACACACACCTGACTCCAGAACACACACACACACACACACACACACACACACACACACACACACACCTGACTCCAGACACCAGCAGGCTGACCTTAGGCCCTCAGGAACCTGTCCACTTCAGCTCTTCTAGACATCTGTCTCCCAACTCCTTCTGTTAATAGCACTGATGCAGTTTGTGATCAGAAGATCTTGGTTTTGGGGGCATGGGCGGTTCCCAGCCAGGTAAGAGTGGTCTGACCCATCCTCAGGCAACATTCATGAACCCCAAACTCTTCCTACTTCTAGCCTGCCTCACTTCTAGGGGAACCCTATGTACACAGAGCTCCATCACCCATGACAGAGTCCCCCAGCCTTGATGTGGACATCTCATCCAAGCTACACCAATGAGCTGCAGTGAGAGGGAAATTCATTTGAGAGTGTAAGCATGAGAGCTCCTATATGAGTCAAAAAGTGGGGAGATTCTATTAAGAACTGAAAATGGGGAACAAAGCTGGCCAGTACCAGAAGGTGGAAGGTCATGTAGAACTGGTAGAGTCAGCTGGCCAAAGTCACACTCAAGATGTAGTCCTGGGGATTGAGAAAAGTGGCAAGTATAGTAAAACAAGAGCGAGCAAGAGGATTCAAGTCATCACAGACAAACAACTTTTTGCAGCTGAAATAAATGCCCTCCAACTCCAATCCAGCAGTGAAGAAGAGAGACAATGAACAGCAGAATGAGCAGAAACCAGAAATGCTTCCTCAGCCACTCCATCTAGGGCGACCAGAGCCTAGGGCCAGCAAGTCACTCCCCAGCAAGGCTGCCCAGCCACCCAAAAAGGATGCTAAACTCCACATCAATGCTGTTCTGGACTCCAGCAGGGCAGCAGGCAGTCCACACCCAAAGGAGGCAGAGAAGACTTGCTGTGGACCAAGTCTCCTGTCCTCAACCATCTGGAGACACCCCATAGAGCCACTCGCACAAAAGAAAAAAACATAACAGCAAGTACCCAAATGAGCTGGGGGCTAGGTATCATGAGAATTCATAGATGAAAGGATATTAGGCCTCTGCTCACAGGATGGGTGACCAGAAGGCAGGCAGGTCATAAATGGACTGCTGCTCCTCAACTTACAATGAGGTCACAGCCTGATCAACTCATCAGAAGTTGAAAATGCATTAAGTACACCTGACCTACTGTACATTGCAGCTTAGCAACACAGTACACTGTAGAGTACTGTTACTTTTGTATTCACATGGCTGACTGGGAGCTGTGCTCATGGTCTCTGAGAAGCACCAGGAGGGAGTACCATAGCATGTATCACTAGCCCAGGAGAACCAAAATTCCAAGTATGGTATCTACTTAATATGTATCACTTTGTGTCATTACAAAGGCAAAGAATCTGAAGCCAAATCAGTGTAAGGGGACCATCCACACTGCCTCTCAGCTCTGCTTTGATACTCAAGCTGGATAATGGGTTAGCTCTCCTTTGTCAGATGGGTGGGTATCAGGCTTTATCCCCAGGGGATCTGAGAACATTGTTAGTCCACAGTATGAAAAAGGGTCTCCCTCACTGGTCCCAGTGTACTGCTTTCAGCAGACAGACAACAAGCAGGGATAGATGGTGCTCACAAGCAGCATCCACACGGTCCACTACTTTTAGTCCCCTTCTATGAACCAACTTAGTCCCACAACCTCCAGCAAATATTGCTACCATTCAGCAGGTTGTTCCTACAGCCTCCTACTAGAGGCTACACCCCGCAACAAGTTTCTCTGCCACCCTACAGACTGCCCCATGGACCAGTTCTGCCTCAATCTACCCATCACGTCTCTGGGCCACCAGCCTCTCAGGGTACCCCATCTGCTCCATCAGGCTGACTCCCACCTTGGGGGTGGGAAGAGCTCTGTGCAGGCAATCCACACCCAAAGGAGGCAGAAAAGACTTGCTGTGGACCAAGTCTCCTGTCCTCAACCCTTGTTCACTTGTTTCACCCTTGTTCACTTGTCCCTCAACCCCAGAAGGAGCAGCAATTTTATGTGTTTGCTACTTCTATATTGAAGTAGCTCAAATTACTAGTGTGACTGAACACTAGCTGATACACAGAGTTGGCCCCTGAAATTGAATTTGATTAGATTAAGATGGAAAATGAGGGTGTTTCAGATCAAGAGAACATAAGCAAAGGCAAATATGTGTATGTGTTGTGTGTGTGTGTCTGTGGACAGCTCTGTGTGTGTGTGTGTGTGTGTGTGTGTGTATGTGTGTGTTGGTGACAGACCTGCTGCACTGCTTTCTTTAGACTGGATTCACACCTACACTTGTCTCTGCCACTGGCAGCCCTCAGAAAGCGTTGGCCTCACCCTCCTAAAAGAGAGCAGACTTAGGGTTCTACTTCTTCAGAGAAGACCATATCCTTCATCAGTGCCAGGTACAGTGTCTCTTAGCACCAAGTGATGGCCACCTTCAAGACACTGTCTGGGCAAAGAAGGGAACCTTCTCCCCAAGCTCACATCAGTTACCTGGTACACCAGCTCTTAGGGACAGAGGCCATATGTATCTGCTGTATATGTTGTGTACCTCAGGACAAGCCATATAGGCACCATAAATGCAGATTGATGACAAAGATTGGTCACACACTCACAAAACCATGATCCATGAAACTGAATCAGCATCTAATATAAATGGCACCCACATTCCCATGAAAGAAGCCCCAAAGTCACCTTCAACCAGCTTTTAACTCAATACACACACACACACACACACACTCTTGCACGTGCACACACACAGTTGCCAGGCAATGCCACTCACCAAAAACTTACAACGTTCTTTTAAGGCCAAAAGATGTAAATGCTTAAGAATAAGCAGGCACTCTAATCTCAAAGGTCCCCTTCCTGCTCCAGAACCGACAGGTTCCCTGTCCTTTTGGATCAGAAGCCAGGCCTATTTGGACTTCCAGGAAATCACTGACAAAGCAAACTCACTCTTTCAGCATTTACTCACTTAATCTGGCACCACTGCAGCTGAGCTGCTGGAAACAAGCAATATGTAGAAGAATCTCAC